TCAGATGAGTTCTGTGAGTTTTGACTAATTCTTTTCCAGCATTCAAAGTCATTGGAGCAGTGGGTACATTTTTGTTCATTTTTTGCTCTGTTAATATTAGCTAATTTTTGTGTTTTTGTCATGTGCTATTTTAGTTCTAAAAAATTGCTTTAAATACGGAAATATTGTCTGCTTCGTTTTCATGCTATATAACTCTGATTTCTGTGCGCACTAATTCTGATGTGTATTACTTAGAGCATAGGAAGTAGTCAAAAAACGTGTCCTGTTTTTGGCCATTAGTTTTCTATCAAATGGTTGAAATCGTCATCTGAAATATGTCAGTGTAGTGCTGAAATGCAGCAGAATATCTAAGATTTCCTCTGTTAAATGTTAAGAAGTCTTCAGGAGTTCCAGGCAGTTGAAGTAGAGCATAAATTTAATACTTGGAAATCGGTTCATATAAGAGTTTGAGACTAGGGCTATATGCCCGATGCATTAGTCTCAAATACAGTGTGGCGATGGTAGAATCAGTAAGAATGACAGGAAACACCGAGCACACCATCAAGTAATGTCCTAGAGAACCTTCGATTATCGGAACTTTTTGGTTTTAAGAAATGTTTCATGCACACGATTGACACAAGGGCAGATCTGATTGTTCCTTGTTTTTTTCTTTTTCTCCTGACTTGAATACTTACCCTATGTATTTTGTATCGGGATATTTTGGCTGTTTGCTGGCACTTTCGAAGGTTGTTTTTCGATTTAGTGCATCTGCTATTACTGATGCTTATGTTGCTGTTGGTCGTTCTGCTGTTATAAGTGTCTCTCTTTGGATCGTTCATGGAGTTTTTTTTTTCTTATAATTTACCACCCTTTCTGAATGGTTTCTTGAAAAATGGTAAGGTTTCTCACTGAAAAATATATTTTGCTTATGACGACGGTCGTCCGGAAGGTTAGTGATCCAAGAAATGTTTAGTTTTTCAAGTTTGGGTATCACTGTTTCGAATTCATCATTTAATTAGTTTCCGTTAAGCTTTATGATCCCGATGATATATATACAT